AGACGGCCCAAGAGGCCCCCAAGATCGCCCCAAGAGGGCCCAAGAGGCCCCCAAGAGGGCCCCAAGATGGCCCAAGAGGGCTCGAAGACGGCCCAAGAAGCCTCCAAGACGGTCCAAAAGGGCCCCAAGAACGCCCCCAAAGGGGCCCCAGAGAGGGAACACGAAACAAAATTTCGAGCCCTCGGCCCTAAGAAGCCCCCACGAGGCCCCAAGAGGCCCCTAAGAGGCCCCAAGAGGCCCCCACGAGGCCCTCAGGAGGCCCGCAAGAGTCCCCCAAGCGGCCCCCCAAATGCGCCCCCGAGCACGCAAGCAAGTGCAAGCGATGCTACAATGTGCTCTCCTTTCGGTAGACTCCCAACGGGGCCCCTACAGACTTGCAACAAGCGTCAAGAACCTGCCCAAAAAGCACTGTCCAGGAGCGTTCACAAGTGCCGCGAAGAAGCCCTCCTTACGCCGGAAAGCCCGGAAAGCCGGGTGGGGTGAGCTGTTCTTCTCACCACCGCGCCCTCTCACACAATGGCTTCCGCACGCCGCCCAGAGCGCGACGTTCGGCTCATGCCCCCAGAACGCTCCAGGAGCGCGCCAAAACGGCACCGGAACGCCCCCGAAACAATCCAAGCGGCCTCAAGTCGCCGAACAATCGTTCCAAATCGCCCAAGATGACCTCAAAATTGCCGTCGAGGCCGCCAAGAAGCACCAAGAGAGCCTCAAGAGGCCCTCCAAGACGGCCATTACAATCAAACATCGTCCCATTCCCATAGGAACATGTACACTTCCCGCATGAACGGCGTTTCGAGTTTCACAGCACCTCAGACTAATTACGCAAATAGCCCCCAACATCGCCCCGAGACAGCCCAACAATCCGCTAAAATCGGCCCAAGACGGCCCAAGATAACCCCAAGACGGCACAAGAGAGCACCAAGACCGCCCAAGAGGCGCCCAAAGGGGGATTCTGCCCCTAGGAGCACCTCAGAAGCCACCAACATCCCGCCAATAAGTTCCCCAAGACGCCCCAAGAACCACCCAAGAAGCCCAACAAGAAGCCCCAACGACCCCAAAAAGGCCCTTACGGGGCCTCAAGAGGCTTCAACACTGCCTCCAAGAGGTTCCCGAGACGCCTGGCAAAAGAACCCCCAAAGCGCCGCATTGACACCAGGCCCTCGGGCAAACGGCAGACATGAGACTGTATGGGCCGGCGGAATGAGCGAAGCGATGAAATAATAGAAACATCGTCCCGAAACTATGTTTAAAACTATGTTTGAATATTTCCCTCCTGTGGAAGGACAGGCCAGATCTGTAAATCTAGATTTTGAAAGCGAGGGCGCCGGCGCGCCGCCCAATGCTCGGGCAGCTCGCGCGCGAGAGCGTCGGCAAAGACGATCCCGCTTCCTTCCGTCGCGCCATTCTGGAGGCGGCCGCGGGGTCTGGACATCACCCGGGCGACTCGAGCGCCGGATCCACGCGGCCCATACCAGCTGTGCTCAACAACTATAGGTCGTACGGTAGTCGGAGGGGTTCCGGGGTTCCACTGGCAGCACGCGCGCGGAAGACGGACAAAAAGCCATGCACCGCCACAAGGGTCCCCGGTTTAACGAGTCGCCGCGAAGGCTGCGCCCCCGCCCCTAAAGAAGGAAAGATATTCGAGTATGCCGGGTTTGTTGGGGTTTCAGGCACGATCGCGGGGGCGGATATATGGCCTTGGTTTGGGCCCCGAGAATCGGTCATAAAAAGAGAGAAAAAGAAAAATAAAAAAAAAAAAAAGAAATAAAAAAAAAAAAATAAAAAAAAAAAAAAAAAAAAATTAAAAAAAAAAAAAAAAAATAAAAAAAGAAAAAAAAAAAAAAATGCAAAAAAAGAGAAAAAAATAATCAATTAAGGAAAAAACAAAAAATAAACAAAAAAAAAAAGAAAAAGATCAGTGGAACAAGATAAAAGAAAAAAAACAGACCAAATGGGACCAACCCACCCCCCTCCGTGTTCACGTACGCGTGGCCGAAAACGGCGCCGAAAAGGCAGGGGAAAAAGGCAGGGCTGGAAAAAACATGATCGACCCACGAACCCGGAAAGGAATATAGAAATGTAAGGCATTGCAACATTTCAAAGACACCTGATTTGGCGACGGGCACATGCAATGCTGAATGTATCGATGATGATGTACTGTGCCGAGGGCTGTGCTGTGCTACGCCGTGCTGAACTGCGATGTGCCATGCCGCGATTGTGCTCTATATAGCGTTGTGGATCGAGTCCTCCCTGGCATCCGAGTCCTCACCGAACTGATCTGGAGCGTAAGCTCGAGCTGCCTGAGCAGATGGTAGCTGCCCCAGAACTAATCGACAGAGGGAACATGCCAGGAGGACGCGCCGCGGAACGTCCCAAGGGACGCGCCAGGCGACGTGCCAGGGACGTGCCATGGGCACGCACCGCGGGACGTGCCAAGGGGACGCGCTACGGAACGTGCCAATGGACGTGCCGAGGGACGTGCCAGGGGACGCGCCGCGCGACGTGCCAGGTGGACTCGCCACGGAACGCGCCAAGGAACGTGCCAAGATGCATAGTTGAGTGTATCGATGTACCGTGCCGACGGCTGTGCTGTGCTGGGCCGTGCTGAACTGCGATGTGCCATGCCGCGATTGTGCTCTATATAGCGTTGTGGATCGAGTCCTCCCTGGCATCCGAGTCCTCACCGAACTGATCTGGAGCGTAAGCTCGAGCTGCCTGAGCAGATGGTAGCTGCCCCAGAACTAATCGACAGAGGGAACATGCCAAGAGGACGCGCCGCGGAACGTCCCAAGGGACGCGCCAGGCGACGTGCCAGGGGACGTGCCATGGGCACGCACCGCGGGACGTGCCAAGGGGACGCGCTACGGAACGTGCCAATGGACGTGCACCGCGCGACGTGCCAGGGGGACTCGCCACGGGACGCTCCGCGGAACGTGCCAGGCAACATGCCAGGCTGCAATGCTAAGGATATCGATCTTGATGTACCGTGCCGAGGGCTGTGCTGTGCCTTGGCGACCTGGACACGTGAAAACACGCGTTTCGCTCAAGACGTTCTCAGCACATCCTCATGCTAGACATCCGCCTGGGCGACCTGGACACGTGAAAACCAGCCTCTGGTTCGAGACATCCTCAACAAATCCTCATGCTAGACATCTGTCTGGGACACCTGGAGGCGTGAAACCAAGCGTCTCGCTCGAGACATCCTCAAGACCTGGCCACGTGAAAACAAGCAATCCACTTGAGAAATCCTCTGAATTCAGGTCCCCAGGAGAGGACAATCTATAACACAAAATAAGCGTTTCGCTCGAGACATCCTCAACCAATTCTGAAAAACAAGCGTTTCGCTCGAGACATCCTCAAATTTTAATTCGCCGGCCCTACTCCCGCACGTAATTTATCGCAGAATAATTTCGCCGGCCCAAGTCGCAGGGGGGCCGGGGGGTTAACCTACTAAAAGAGAACCCTGGGCCCGCGCCCTTTCCGGGAAAAAACCTTCTCGAACCTCAAACCTGCCCGCCCTCCTCGCTGGCCAGAAACAGTACTGGGCCACCTCAGATCCCCAGACGGCTCCACACCCCAGTTTCTTCCGTCGCTCAAGTGTGGGAGGAAGTGAGAAGGAGAAGGCCCTCTCAAAGGCGGCGGGGCTTGTCAGAAGCCCTCCGGCCTTTCTGGGAAGCTTCATGTGTCTTCGGGGAAGGCTCAGGAAACTCCCCGGAAGGCTGGGGACCTTCCGAGCGTTGCTCAGAGGCGAGGCTCTCGGTGACCTGAGTAGAAGGGCCCTGAGGGGGCCCGAAAGGGCTTCTTTAGGGTCTTTTCTTCACCACCCCATTGAGGCCACCCTCCATTCCAAGACCCCCGACGTCGTGATTTTTTCACAACGTCGACCCCCAGAGGTCTGGACCCTTTCCCAGGACCGGTTTCTCGTCCGCAGTCGTTCTTTGACGGTCCCGAGGCCCAAGAAGGGCCCCCAAAGGCCGAGAATAGCGGAAAACCTCCCGTCGTGATTTGTTCACAGCGCGAGGAGGTCTGGGTTGCCACCCCTCGTCCTTCTGTTTCTTCAGAGGGGTGGCTCCCCTACACCTTTCCCCCAACGCCGCCCGCACCCGCGGGGCGCGCGCGGCCTCCGCGAGCGCGATCGGAGCCCCCCGCCCTGCCCACCACACCGCCCGCCCGAGCTTCGGGGAGGAGCTCTCCTCAGCGCCAGGCGCTCCGACGCTCTGCTCGTGGGGGGCTCCGCTCTCCCCCTGCCCCCCCCCCCGGGCTGCTCTTGGATGCTTCGCGACAGCTGGGGGCGATCGGGGGAGGCTTCCCAAGGGGGTTTTTGGGGGCACCCCCGACTTTGACGAGGCTCCGAGGCCCCTGGGGGGCCCGTCTTGGAAAACCCCCTCCCCCCAAACCCCCTTTGGAGCCCTCCGAATCGGGGGAGGGGGAGGGGGAGCTCGTCCCCCCCGTGCACACCACGGCGGGGGGGGGGGCCGCCGGACATCTCGGGAGATCCTCGGAGGAGCGGCGGGAGTTCCTCGCGCGCGCGGGCAGAATGGCGCGGCGTGGTCCCCGGGGAGGGAGAGGGCCACTCACGGCCGTCCTCGCTCGGCGGCGCGCACGAACGGGGGTGGGGGGGAGGGGGGGAGGGCTTCTTGGAAGGAGGCTGCTTCTTGGCAGGCACTGGCCTCACACCTCGAGAGACGGGGCCCGCGCCCTCTGAGAAGCAGGGGTGCTTCCGAGAAGCCCCCCCCCCCCCTTCCCCCAACCCCCCTCTGCGCGTGGCCGAGTTTAACCAAGCCCCATGCCCACCGAGCGATGGCATTTCAGCCCCACCATCGCATCATCCCAGTTGGGGACAGGCCACTCGAGACCCGAAAATATCGGCCTCGCCGCGCAAAGCCCCCCGTGTCCGGCAAAATGCATTCCGCGTGCGCGTGGCTGACTCGCCCCGGCCTCAAAGCTTCTGACGGCCCCCCCCTCCCCCACGCCTGGCCGGCCGCCGGCCCCTCCCCCTC